ACACGCACCACTTTCCTCTTGTCTACCAGGCCAGCCATTCCAACACAGAGGTTCACATTGGTGAAGCACCACTTCTCCCCTCCTCCTATGAGTCCACGGTGACTACTCCTGATGACTCTGGACCTTTGCAGTCCATAAAATGGTTTTCAGAACAAGTTGTTCCACCACCTTCCCCAGGACTGACGTGAGGCTAACTAGCTTTTATTTCTCTGGACCTTGCATCTTCCAAAGGGCCTACTCCTCAGAAAATAATAAAAACTAATTATATATAGAAATTACAGAAACAATGTCTATGACCAGATAGATATAAGAACAACTTCTGAATAGATAATGTAAGGCTACACCTCAAAAGCAGCCAATTTGCTTCCACAAACAGAATTTTTGCCCTGATAAACTCATACTCTTCCAAATACTAAGTGTCTTGAATTAAGACATCTGCTCTGTTGTTGCAGGTGTTCTTCCTGCAAAGGGAAGGAAATAACTGATGAGGACAGAGATAGAATGTTTATTCATGCCTTAGATCATGAAAAGACTCTTTGCTGTTTATATAATACTTTACAGATTTCTGCATATACTACCAATGTTACTATTAAAAAACTGAATAAATAACATTCTCTTGGAATGTTAACCAGTCTGATTTCCAAACTGCATGGAACATAGCCTTCATACTTAGTTTTAATTATCAGTATATTTTCTGGAGTGGAAGCTTCAAAAAAAAAAAAAAAATTACAAGGCATTCCTTAGCATGCATTTCCAGACTTAAACTCGTTATGTGAAAAATAAATAAAATGGTGAATGCTCATCAGGATGCAGAAAGAGCAGGGCTGACACAAGTGGGAAATTTGCCAAGAATTCAAGGGCAAATAAGGCACAGACCTATAAGATAGTTCTGGCTAAAACTGGATGCCCAGGACTAAGCTTCAAAGGAGAGCCAGGAGCAAAGGACAGAGTGCGTCAGTAATGAGTCAAGGCTGGTCTGAGCATTTAAGGCCCACTGAGGCTCTCAGGTCCCTCACAGTACAGTCTGTAGCTTGAGTTAAGCTACATCTGAAAAACCAAGATAATTCTAGGACATGCAATTAGTGTTATAACAAGGATGAATCTAACCTACATGCCAATATGACTTCAGCCACATTTTACTGATGAGCAAGAAAGCAGAAGAGTTGAAATCCACCTGGAAGAAAAGCTTTCAACTATTTACATTCTGTAACTCCTCTTATGTCTGCTTGAAATGTAACATGCAAGGAAAACTGCAAATTGCTGCAGAAATCTGGACAGATGATTCCCCTTCCCACCCCTCCCATATCAGCCAGTCATGAAGAGTACTCATGAAATTTTGCTGGTGAATGTGAGCTTATGCTATACGTTCATTGTCAATAAATCAGACATTTACAAAAGTATAGAGGGCAACACTTTGAATTGGTGGTTTCCTCCTCACATCATGAAGGGAAGAAGCTTTCTTTATTGAGGATATTATATCACACAATTACCTAATCTGTAAGTGGGAAGAAAAAAATATGAAGGGCAAGAAGTAAGAACTGTCACATGAAGTTCAGATTACAAATATAAGGAATCAGCTGGCATTTAGTCTAGTCTATCATTTGCGGTTGTTATGGTTTTATTATGTAAGGGAATGGGATTTTCCTTAGCTTTTAAGTTACTATGTTCTAAATGTCAATTTCACAGCAGTGAGATGCAGAAATCTGTCTCTCACCACTTGCTGTTTTGATGAAACACAGTAGTCACTAAAAACACAGGGCTCGTGGATAAGAAGGCTTGATCTGTATTTGGCTCTGCCAACTGCTGTCATTCCAATACAGAGGTAAAGATTGTATTAAATAGTAAAGGCAACAGATATAGACATAACTGCTAGACTCTAGATTCTACAGTGAATTAGTGCTAGACTCCTGACTTCAAGAGAAGTTGTAATGTTTATGAAATACATTCAACAGAAGGAGATAAATGGGCAAAGACAACAAAATGGTAGAGCTTTTGTGTTTCATGGGCAATTAAGAGTCTACAACATTTCATCACAATGAGGACTTAAACTCTTAAAAAAGTTAAGCATGCAAACTCCTGGTCAAATATTTGTCTGACTCTTGGCAATCCGTTAGCTGATAACTATAAAATTATTCTCAATTAAACTGAGAAATAATAGATGCAGTGAACACGTTAGGTTCCTAACTTAGACTATAGATAAGTAATTTCACTTTTTCCTCCATCCAGCCATTGTTTGGACAAAAAGGCTTAATACGCTTTTCACAGCTGATCAGAAGTCACTATCTTACCCCATCACATGTATTTATAATGCCTGATACCTCGTTATAGTAACCTGAAAGAACAGCAGCCAAAGTTGGCAGTTCTTCCAAAAAGATCTAACCTCACCTCCTTAGTGCTTTATGTTGCTTTCTAGATTGTCTGGAGCTTTTCTTAGCTATGGTTCTAAATGAGGAGCAGAATGCAGGAGAAATATAAAAATGTTGACTATCTTCAGATGTAACTTTAAAAATCCACACATTTAAAAGCAAATGAAGCAGGAGTCCGAGCAAGTCCAAACATCACTAGTAATGTCCAAGACTCTCTCATTTATTGGCAAGATGACCTGGCTGTGTGAGGTTGGCTGGCAACATCAGAAAGTTAAAATGCCTTTTCTTGTACCACCTTCAGAGGAACTCATAAGATTTTCTGGCACTCTTTGAAGCAGCGCTGAAATGCTTCCAAACCACCAGTACTGAAAGAGACAGAAGGATTCACAGCTTTATTCAGTAAGGATGATGAAGTTGAAAGTGCAAAAACACTCTCACTGACTTCAAGACCAGAGAAAAGATTAAATAAATTAATTTCCACAGTGACAAAAAAAGAAGTTTGATGATACAGACTGACTGAGGAAAAGTCTGTGAAATTCAGGAAAAAAATAGAAAAAACTTAATATGCTCAAAGTCTATAAAGCTGTAAAGTCAGGTTCAAATGTCTGAAAATATACACTATGCAAGGATTAAAACACACCTGAGCATTCTATGATTCCTTAATTATGATTAAAGCAATGCATACCAGCAAACCATGACAGAAGAATGACAAATGGAGAATAAGAAAAACAATCCAGAGAAAAAGGCATTAGGAAGAAAAAAAAAAAAATAAGAAGAAAATAAAAACAGTTTTCAACATGGTTGCCTGAATATTTAGAACAAAAAAAAAAAAAAAAAAGTTGAGATCTTGAAATCAGTGTTACTACTCACAGTGCTGCAAACACTACACATGAGAAGGTGAAATTACCTTTTCTATATATCAGAAACACTGGAAAAAGATTTCAGGGAGCAAATGTTACTCTGGCAAACCCAAAGCAGAAAAAAAAAAAAAAAAAAAGAGGCCATTCCAAAGGGACTATTCAAAACATAATAATGGCAGATGCACTAACTTCACAAATCAGCAAGTGTAAGAGATAAAAGGAATTGGCCCACCATAAGATTAAGAATCTCTTCTGTATGTGTAAGGGATGGACTGGATTTGATTGGACAAGACATGTAAACAGAAAAGCAAGAAGTTTTCAGTACATGTAACTGTACAGTAGACCTAACACTTCAGTGGAGACCTTTTCAAGCTCAGATAGAACTTTCCAAACTCAGCCATTTCAAAGTTATTTATGTGTAAAACACCTGGTGAACACATTAGGAAAAAGTGAACAGCTTTCTTCCTTATGAGAACTCAAGAATAGATTTTAAAATACAGAAGATTTAACCCGTAGCCAGAGGAATGAGAGAAAATTTCATTTTTAAAAATTGAGTTACTATCCTCAAAAAAGCTGCAAAAGTGATTTATTTTTTCTCTACAGTGGTTACCATCATTGAACACCATATAACATGAAACAAACACACGTATGCACACAATACTCAATGCACACCCCAAAAATATGGGTCATTAAGAACTTGAATAATCTTTCTTTTTTAAAGTTTGACTAACAGAACTCAGCAGACACGAGAATATACTGACTTGGCCAAATTAAATATGAAGCAAGAACATAAATTATTCCTTTCTTCCCAGGACCTATTTATTTAATTGATTGCCCAGACTTTACACTTTAACTATTTTACCATTCACCTGCTCTACTCATAAGTATTTTGAAATGAAGAGACAGATAAGTGACCTGTGAAAAGCTATTTACTTTTTCATTACTCTTCTAGCAACAGAGTTAAGGCAGCTTATTAGAAAAACATAAGAAGGTAACAGATTCCAACCTCCGCATTCTCTAGTTTCATTATTTTCTGACATTCAGTACAGGTAATACAGTAATTCTTTTGGCAAGAACACATGTGCCCCCTATAGGTTTAATACATTCTTACCACAGAAACATGAAAATAATGGAAACAATCAGTAAGCATTTCCTAAATAGAAAATTCACTAGCAGAAAAGAATATTTTTAACTCCTTTGATGTTTACATACTCAGAATGAATATGAATTATTGCTACATATTTGAGCATCTTCCCCATCCAAATCACTTTCCTTTTAAATGCAGTTCTTTTAACCAGCATAGTTTGTCCTAAGTATTTCCTTTACTGTGTAATGTTCTTACTTACCACTCTCTCTCTCTACCCCATAGCTTTCCCAAGTACATTATAAGCTTTTTTGAAAAATTGCGGCATATTATTCTGAGTTTATCATAATGTAGTATGCATATTTACACAACTATGTAGACAATTTATTATAATGTTGCTACAATTATACTTGCATTTTAAAAGCTGGATCATAAATGTTACCTTCCTTAGCAGTAACAATACGCTGTTTTGGAAATAACATTAGCATCCAGTTCTATATACTATTTTATAAATACAATTAGTTATCAAGGTGGGTAACATATAGGTGATAAATCTTGATTGTTTAATGATTTACATATAAGTAACTACAACTGAGGAACCAAGGAGTAAAAATCTACAGACCCAATTCCAAAGCAAGTACAACAATAAAAGAATGCCCTTTTATTCCAAGATATCTAATTCAGCCTTACTTGAGAGTTCTTAAATCCCAGAGTTTGATTCCATCTCCTACAGCTGTGGTCATGAAAAGGTTGTAAGCTTCAGGCTTCTGAGTGCTGAAAGCTGATCCCTGTAAATATTAAAATTAATTTGAAGTAACAGTTGTAGTGCTAAAGATTAGATCATTCAAGAATAAATGTTAAGTATTTTATTAGATTATGGGATAGAAAGCTTTTATGCAGAAACACAAAGGAGTACAGGGAAACACTGGCATGTGGAGAAACCCCTACAACTCCAACAGAAAAGCATAGCTATGTCTTAACTTCTTTCCAGGACAGCCATGAGCCCATTGATCCAGGGGCGACTCCTACCAAAAACAAGTCACAGGGACTCTAAGTGACAGTAATAAGTGACAATAAGCATGGGGTTAATTATGGAAATAAGGGAAAAACACTGTGATTGAACAAGACTTTATGGGCTTGTGTGTCCTGGAATAGCAAGGGTCTGGGAACCAGCAACTGGTGTGAGAGCACAGATCAGATGGCCTGTTGGTCTAGGTGCCAGCAACTGGAGAGAACAGAATTAGTGAAATCACATGACAGCAGCTGAAGTTGGACCATGGCAATAGGGGCCAAGGGTCTGAAGCACAAGCAACTGGGACAGTTGAGGGTGCATAAGCAAGCATTTTATCACTTGCAAACTTCAAGGACTAGCCAGCAAGCAGGTGAAGTAGCTTGGTAGCCAGGTGTGTGTGTGCATTTCAGGGTATGAAGAGCCCAGTAGAGCTGACTTCCAGAAGGTTAAAGACATCTGACACAAATTTTCAAAAAAAAGCATTCCAGGCAATGAATGCTTCTTTATCGATAGCACTTCAAATACTTTTCATGATATCAAAGACTAAATATTCTATACCTTTTTCTAGACATGACCAAAATATTGATCAATTACCAAAACCTGAATTGGCCCTTGGCCACTCATTAGCAAGTAATAAATAATAAATTTCAACAGTTAATTAGAGGACCGTAACAATCATTAAATAACTAATCAATTTTCTTTTCACAGTAAACTGATATCCAATGCAAGCAGGGATTATTTTAACAACTTTTAGTTTGAAGTTACTTTTTTCAGACTGCAAATATTATTACAGTTCAGGTGAGGGACAAGAAGAGTAAAAAGAAAACTTCACAGAATTAACTACCTTGACAAACTACACAATACAGATAACCAGCGTAGTCAAGTGTTCAACCCAATGGGGGTTGGACTTGATCTCCGGAGGTCCCTTCCAACCCCTACAATTCTGTGATACTGTGAACTAAAAGCCAAGTTTAGCCCTGGCTTAAGTGGGCACTCTGTTTCAGTAGTAATTGTGCTCACTCATACCTGATTTGGGATCCATACCTTTAAATAATTAAATCCAGGATATCTTTAGACCTCTGTTGGTTTTTTTTTTTTAAATCCACATTGGCAAACCTTGACCTTTTTTACTGGCTAAAACCTTCTTTCTCCAGGGAACTAAATATAAACAGTTGGAACTCCTCCTTTCCTTTCCCTACCATTCACATTCTTGATTTGCTGAATACATCACGGAAAGCTCAAAGCCATTTCCCGCAATCAGTGCTCAACTGCCAGGAATCTTCTACTTCTTACAGAAACTGGTATATGGGTGGAAAGTTCTCCAGTCAACAGAATTGGCCAAACTGCAAGACAAAGTTGGGCACTCAGACTACAGAGCTTTCATTTCCTAAGCTAAGGATTACCACAGCCTGCTCTAACAAATGAGCAGAAATGCACTTGCCACTGATTTCCCAACAAAGTTGGGGTCTACACATTTTCACATAAATTCTGTGTATCATGCCTAAAAAATAAAAAACAAAAGCTAACAGCTTGTAAAATAGAAAGACATTGCATATAATCTGGGAGTATCTTTACAGAAACACAGATTCAACAGCATGTTACAGCACAAACGTGACAAGTTTAGTTAATTTTTACTTCCACTCATTATCTTCTAAACATATTTTTAGAGAGAGTCGTAAAATTCTAAAAGGAAACAGGATTCACGTGCATCTGTTAAAATGGTTTTCCAAGAAAAAATTAGCACAGCATCACCCTTTAAGAGATCATTTATAACCATTGCTGCCATCTTACATATGAATATACATATTTGCAATATTTCCTGCTAAACTGTTCTGGAAGAAGACTCAGGATACTATTTACAGCAGACATAGCCTGATGACTAAGAACATATTCCAAGTGATAAAGTAAGCTTAATCAAGTACCCTGAAGGCTGAAACACATCTCATGCATTGACATTCTCACAAGTTATCTCCAGAACTGACAAAAAGAACTGCTTAAAGTAATAACACCACAAGGTATATGTACTTGTGTACCACTGCTATCTAAAACCAGCAAGAACTGAATGCCATGCTGGATTTATGTTACTAGAATGTCCTATACATGGAACAGATAAGCAAATCATAATCAAACCATACCTCCAGGAGGTTTTTATAAAACACTAGTGAATAGATTTCTTCAATTATTTGTATTAAAATAAAATCTGGTATCTCCATTTTCCCCTGTTCAGATTGCACACAACAGCAACCTTGAAACATGGATACTGATATACTCTTGTATGAAGCTAAACCAAAAAAATACTTCAAGAATACACCTAATACATTGCAACCATTAGTGAGCATTCAGTTCAAAAGGTTAGAGTTGGTCTAGCCTGAACAAAAGTCTCCATAAATATTAGAGCCTTAAAACTACTTCATTCCACAGATCTGCTTCTCCTGCATCATCCCTCTCCAACAGGTAGGGTAGTCATAGACTTAGATTCCAGTATGTTTTACACTTAAAAAGGATATAGTTTACATACAGCATTTTGCATTATTTTGAAAATCTGTAAGATATTTCAACATGTTATCTTAAAGCAAATGCACCTATAGATATATATATATACACACACACTCTCTAACCATTTATATTAATGTAACAAGATAGCTGACGGTGTAATTTTCCAATGGACTTAGCTAAAGTATTAATTTTATGTAACTGAAAAAATAACTGAGAACCTTGATCTATAGTTTCCCTCCAAAATAAGGAATTTTCTTTGCTATACCACATGCCTCTAGTTTTTCTCCCAAGTGAATACTTGTCTACAGCTTTAAAGTTTTTCTTGATTAAATAACCTGAAGCCACTCAGCTGACCAAGCAAAAAGAAAAGCCAAAACTTTATATGTGTTACAAATAGCACTGAAATAGTTAGCAGAATTTTAAGTGCTTTACCAGATCACATCTCACAGGAAAACCCACAAAGTGTTATACAAAAGTAGTAATAAGGAACTGTTTTAAACCCACAGAAATAAGGGCTTTCCAAATGGAAAAGAATCAACAAAACCTAACACAGTAGGCATTCTAACATGTACAGGAACATAAAATTCCCAAATGTTCATATCAATCTTCAAGTTTTTTTGTTTTTGTTTTTGTTTTGTTTTGTTTTTTGTGGTTTTTTTGTGTTTGTTTTTTTTTTTTTTAGAGGAATTTTGAAGTTATCCACTCCACTGCAATACTAAGCAATTTTTTTCCTTTTCCAAAATCCCCAAATAAACCAGATGACTTCATATTCAACTCTGTAGAACACTTGCATAAGACATAAGGCAACAAACCTAGAGTCACATAACACAGAATTAATAAGGCAAGCCCATCATTCATTTATATATAGACTAGGTTGTACGTTCTGTAATTTAAGTAATAAAAGAGTAAAAAAAAAATACATTTATCAGCTTAAGGTTATTTTGCAGCTACTTTACAGAAGAAAGTTCAAAATGGAAGAAAAAAGGAAGGTTGACAGTTTCCTAAGAACAATGAACTCCTATTCAGATAATACAGTGATTAAAATACTTGTCTTGCTTCCAAACTGTTTTTTCCCCTCTATATAATCTTTTGGGTCAAGAAACACAAGGCTTTTATTCCCCCTCACCTCTCTCACAGCCAAGGATCTTACAATTACCTTTATTTCTAAGAAGCCCTTTGCTGACTTATGCGCAGTACACTTTAAACTCTGCATGAGAACAACTTTAGGCAATGACAGTCTGCTCTGAAAATGGCCATTTGCTGTATTATTCTCTTTGGATTATTTTGGCTGTGTTTTGTTTGTTTCATATTATTGTTGTTTTTGTGTTGGTTTTTTTTTTTTATTATTTAAATACAAAATGATTATTTAACATATAAATTATTAACTTCTCTTCTGCATGTTAGGGGAAGACTATTAGGAGTCTATATAGCCCCCCAAGCATAATACTCTCAGAACAATGTATGTAACAATTTTGGTTCCAGGTAAAATAACACAGAGGTCATGCTAGAATAAGTTACAAGAATCATTAGAATTTCTACAGCTCTATTTCCCCATACAGGAATTAAATGTTAAACTTGTTTCCTCTTAGTCATGAAATATTTTGAGGGATCAAAATTCAGTGTGAAAGTCAAATGCATCTATGTAAATACTGCAACAAATCAGTTAGAAAAAGCACTCAATGTCAAAGATGTGACGAGTGTTAGCATCTATAAAAATAACTAGAAGTCTACAAACATTTCAAACGTTTACAGTTAACAAATTCTGCAATACTGATGTTAGTAGCCTGCCCAAGTACTGCTAAGTTTAAGACACATTGCTCTGCTCACAGGCTTGTTCAGTGATTATTACCACTCCCTGCTTTCCACTAGAGAATGAGTGAGACCTTGTCTGTGGATATGCCTTTATCACATAAAATTACGTTCCTGTCCATCCCCAACACAGACTCTACTGATGATGGTTAATTACGTATTTAATCTGCAATTTTTTTTATTTTTTTTTATTTTTTTTTTTTGCTGATTCACATCTGCTATTATAGATATTCAGTAATATGTATACCTTGTTTTGACAGATCTGATGGACTGCTCTAGTATGAGCTTCTGGTATCACTGCTGTGCTGTAGCCCGCATTGAGATCAAAAACTTCCAATGCTCGGTTGCTGCCAGCTGTAAGTACAATATCTGTAAAATTCTCTGTGTTAAAGTTAAACTGATCTAAAGGAACAAAAACAGATAAACGTTTTGTTGTATTTAGTGTCTTACAAAACAACCAAAAAAAGCAGTTCTAAGGCTTAAATTCATTACCCCAAAAATATGATATCAATACTGATACAAAAGTTATGAAAAAAAAAAAATTAGTTTATAGCTCTTCCCATATCATTAGATTCAACATTCCAAGAAGAAAATAAGAATTTGCTGAAGGATACACGAGTAGAAATCATTCACTGCTGAAAGGCTGGTAATCTCCACTGTTGAAGCCATGGGAAATTTCTGTACCAATTTGCAAATACTTTTCTGTTTGTATCTACAAAATATATAAAATAAATGCTGGCGTTAATGAAAGATTAAGAATTCCAGTCTGGACAGTTTCCATAAATAAATTTGATGGGTTGCCATTATAGCAAAGACAGTTCCTTTGTAGGATTTCCAACTGGCTACCAAAGCCAATTCATAGAATCACCAAGGTTGGAAAAGACCTCCAAGATCATCTAGCTCAATTATTGGATAACCACCAATGTTTGCCCACTAAACCATGTCCCTTAGTACTGCACCTAAATGTTTCTTGAACACCTTCAGGGACAGTGGCTCAAACACCTCCCTCAGCTGCCTGTGTTTGACATCTGATCACTCTTTTAAAGATTAATTTTTTTGAGCCTCCCCAGAACAACTTGAGATGATTCCCTCTAGTCCTATTGCTAAGTTGTGAAGCTGTTTTCAGATGTTAGAATATACTAAGACAAGTCCTAGAAAACACAGCACAAATGAAAGCTAACAGGAAGCACGTACAGGCAAAACTCCAATCACATGAAAACTCAAGTGACTACTGTAACATAAACAGGTCTAAATTATACCACCATCCCAAGCCAACAAAAAGCTAATTAGAAAAACCAAAGAGGGCTGCCTAGTATCTTCTCACATTGTTTTTGTTTGTTTTCTCCAGGTTTCCAGTTCTATGCACAATACATAATCTCAGCTGACAATCCTAAAATTACAGTTTCTATATAATCCAAATTATAACCCTATCCTCCTCTAATACCTTAAATCACTGGAAACCGATAACAGTCTTAAGTGTCTTATTTGTAATGCCTTATGTCATCCATATTTTGGAGATACAGTCATTCTAGGGGGAAATACATTTACAGAATGGTTGTTTTCAGGAGAAGAGCATAGCTTGTTTATTTAAAAAACTTTAGGAACATTTCACCATATTAGGCATTATATCACACAAGGGCTTTGAAAAGCAATGCTTCTGTTACTTGAATGCAATTTTATTCGCTTTAAACTCCTTTCAAATGGCTCCTTCTGGTCTTTAGAACAACACATGAAACAATATAAAACAAGATTAGATTTTGTTTTGCTTAAATTCATATAGAAAGTAAAGATAATTAAAAACTTTTAAAAAATTAAACAAAACATCTACAATTCACATTAGCAGGCACAACTGCTGACAACAGTGGAAATTCACTGGTTAGAAATTTTGAAGATCACAAATTTGTTTAGGTTGTGAAACATTTTGAGATTAATCAGATGTAGAAATCAAGAAACTTGTATTTTATTCCCAGAAATGCAATAAATATCCTCTGTGACATTTATAAAGAACACTTTCTTATTTCTACTTTTCAATTACAGTTTTGAAACTCAACCAACATTTAACCATCAAAATAAGTTGTTGTAACACTTAGCTAATTAATACTAACAAATAGTTTTTAAAATTCTGCAGAAAAATATCGATAAGATTTATCATTGTATTGTTTCCCATCCAAAATGCAGTAACAATCCATTGGTTAGTCAGATAGTATAATCATGCTCTTCTAATTAAGGATATAAAGCATGCTCTGGGGGGTTAGATCCAGCTGCTCCTTGAATCAGCTCCATTCAAGCATTCTTCCAAACTTGACTCAGAAGGCAAAATTAAGAGTTGTGAGAAACAAAAGAAATGACACAATCTTTCATAAAAGTGCTGGGAAATGAACTGGAGGGAAGCCACAAGAAAATGTCAAAGCAAATTTAAAAAAAAAAAAAAGTAGGTACTGGAGGTTAATCAACACATATAATCAAGCCTCAGACTGGTTTGTGGATTTGTTGTAATGTCTACAATTACGTTCAGTCTACTGGCTTTACACTAATATCCTGGAGAGCCTAATCGCATATTTTTGAGTTTGTGTTAATCCATCAAGGAAAACATGGCAGTAACAAAAATGCTGGTATAAGCACAACTCCATACACATTAACAGCTTTAAATCAGGATATTACATACTTCTAACAAAGTAATTGTAGAAACACTGTACAGGATGAGAGGACAGTGTTTAAGTCCTTCCAAAATTGCTTAGGTGGGTTCTACAACTACAACACATTTCATAATACCTTTAGCATCTGAACTAGCTAGATCAAAGATAGTTCACATCCATCTGAGAGACTATGGAATTTCTTACTGTTACTGGATATGTTCTTCTGGGAGGCATAAGCCCAGAAAACAGAAGTAAAAAACATTTTAAACTAAATCTTAAAAGCAAAAAATAACCAGAAGAGGGAAGGGTACAGAAGAACAGTGTATTATTTTCTGTCCTCTTTCTTGAAGTTCCTCCAATATTGTCTGTATAGATGTTACCAGTTAGGAATGGCACAGGCAATTTGCCTGTTTTCTGAATTTACTAGCTTACTCTGAATAGATTTGCAGCAAAACTGGGAGTGGGAATCATCTTTCCTGACTCCCACCTTCAATTTATTTCATTATTTGCCTTCCAAATTCCCTTCACCCTTACCCCTCATTAGTTTTATCTTTCTAATGTAACGTATATACAATAAAGTGAAAGCAGAAAATTGGATTTTTGAATTTTGAATTTGATTTTCCAGTCTACGTGCTGTGTCTGTGTGCATTCCTGTGACAATATATGACTAAGATCATATAACTAAGGGCCAGAGCACATCCTCCATTAAGGATTTTGACAAGAAATGGAAGTTAAAAGGTCACAAGTACTTCTGCAGTAAAACCAGACAGATCACTGAAACCCACAATAAAGTAAACATTTGGAGAAATTTACAAACTGAAATTAGATCACAACCCATTAGTTACTTTTTCAAACATGAAGGAAAAATCTGCTTTCAAAATGTGTTTTAAAGTACTGATGTAATTTAGCCTTTCTCTCCTCTTTTTTTATTTTTTTATTTTTATTTTTTTAAGGACTATTTAAAATTTCAGTGAAGATCAACATCCTCTATCCAGGAAAATACTCCTATTCAAAGAAATATTTAAACATGAACTGTGGCTAAACATCCAAGGAAACTGGCCAGTCTTCCCCATCTATGAATGAGGCTCAATGCTACTTAATAACACACTATTCACAGTATCAACTAATAGACTTCAGTGCTGTAATCTTAATTCACTTTCCTATTCTTCTTCTTCTAAAAAAAAAAAAAAAAAAACACACACACACACACAGTCATAGCAATGAGAAACCAACCTAAACCAACCTTGAAGAGATTCTTTTTTTTAATACTACCGTGTTTAAAAACACAGTGTGCATATATAAGCACATATATATTTGGATGTAATAAAATATCTTAGACAAATATATTGCTGAAAACCAGCAAGAGTAAGTGAAGAACAGAAAACTTAGTAAAAAAGATACAAGGACAATTTAGCTGCAGTAGTGAACAAACATCCAAAAAAGGTATAGGCAGATTAAATAGTAAGACTTGATTCCATACCAGAAAAGAGGAGCAAGTTAATAATCAATAGAGCAATTAGTAAAAAGTGCATGAAGGATGCTACCAATTACGTGGAAAAAAAAAAGATGCATAAGGAAATTAATTAGACATATATAATAAATTGAAAGTAAATAAAAATGAAAGTAATCTGCTTCCATTTCACAGAAAATGAAGAAAACATCTGCAGCATATTGGAGCCTCTGAAAGAAAATGCAATTAAAAATATTCCCAAGAAGAGGAATTGCAGAAGCTACTCAATCATAACTTAAGAAACCGATGTAAACAAGTAGAAAGTATAGAAAGACCCAGATTATTAAAAGTAATGGTAATTCTAACCAATTCTAAATACATGCACCCAATAATGCATGCAGTATAAGAATTATTGATAATCCTTTCCCCCTACTTACTCCCCCATTGCACAAAAGTTTCTTTGTTCCATCAATTAGCTTGTTCAACTCTTTCATCTAAATATCATTTCTAAGACAGCCCTCCATCCCACCTTACTCCCGAGAAAATCTCAGCTCAATTAGTAAAAGGAGTTTCATGTATTTTCACTGTTCTTCTGATGGGGATTTCACTCACCGTCTTAGGTCATCCTTTGCTGCATCTAGATGGAAACTCAATAGATGAAATTCAGCTCCACAGCACAGCAATATAAATGTATCCATAAAATAAAATTGTGCAAAGCCTACAGCCCGCTGGAACATCTCTTTTCCCTGAAATGCAAGACATGTCATTAAGAATGGATTCTAAGACACTAAACATCTTTTGTCTGAGATAACTAGAGCTAAAGCATAATTTTCCTGTTAAACTAACCATAAGCCAGAAGGTTAACCTATTGCGTAGTTGCCCTTCCTATTTCTGAAGTTTTCATTCTGCTTAAATTAATTGGCAGTAATGTTAAGAGTATCTGTAGTCAACTGAATCCAATGCCATTGAGTCTAAACTTCCATGTGAATTGTGGAGTAATTATAGGAAGACAAGCAGAGCTGAGCCAGTGCAAATAGAAAATATATAGCAGATGTTAAAATAAAAAACTTCCTGACACGTCCACTAGAGTTGGCTACTGGACCTTTTTCTAGATTGCCATGACAAAAGCCTAATTTGAAGACAGCGAAGATCACCTAGATCATAGTATCAGCTTGAATGACTACCAGTCTAGCTCTAGAAATCAGTCCATATATTCCTCCTACAGAACCATTAAAATAAAATTAGATCAAAGCGCAAAGTGGCATCTTCTGTGATCTAAACTAACAGGAGTTTCTAATTACCAGAATTAGGGCGGGTTCATTCTTGCAGACTGACCAGACCCTTACAGTTCTATCATCTGATGCAGAAACTATCCACTTCTTGTCATGACTCCAGCCAACAGAGTTAACTGCACCATCATGACCTAATAAAAATAATAAAGGAAATATCATAAACCCCGTTTATACTAACACATTTCTCCAGAGTTAATCATACTGTTTTAATACAGTTATATGTAACATTAAAATACACTTAAATATAGGCTTCGAACAGTTGGATTTAAACTGGTAACAGTAAACCACTCATTGATTTCTTTTTCCCCCACCAAAATCCATGGGAAAATGTCCTCATTTATAACTAAAGTACACGAAATTAAATATGGTCATAGAAATATCAATCTATTCTACCTGAAATCGCATATATGTTTGTATGATATTGATTCCATTAGTGTAAGAGGGGCTTGAAAGGAAAAATATAAATAAAATTATAAAAAATAAAAAATATAAATAAAATTTATCTTTAGAAGAAATGAATACTTCAAAAGACAAAAGCTAGCTAAGCTTTCTTAAGCACATTCAGGGGTGGTGACCCAACTACCTCCCTGGGAGCCTATTCCAGTGCTTTTAACTTCTTTCTGTAAATAAGTTTTCCTGGTATCCAACTTAAACCCAGACTGAACAGCCCCAGTTCCTTGAGTTCCTCACAGGGCATATTCTCCAAGCCCTTCTCAAGCCTTGTTGCCCTTCTTTGGACCAGCTCCAGCACCTCCATGTCCTTTCAGTACTGAGGTGCCCAAAACAGAACACCGTAAAAAGGCTGTTTTGTTCACTCTGCCAACAACATGGTAACCAAATATTTCAAATTGCAGCCGAGATTATTAAGGCCCAGAGTTCTGTGATCTGCAACAATGCCCAAATGACAAACGTGATCATCATACAAAACAACACTTCGCACTTATCTTCTAGTCAGTATTTGTCTCATGGGGAGGCCTAAAAGATATCATCTAGCCCACACTGATCCTGATAATAATCATACATTACTTTCCTCTGACTGATAAGCTGCCCTGATTGCTTCATCCCAGATAGATTTTTCTATGCACAGCTTTAACAACAGAAGTGTGGAAAACCAGCAAATCCAAAGGCAGAAGCCTGTACCTTTTAGAGCCTGACTTGCTTTTTTGTTTGTTTTTTTTGGTCATGGGCATGCAACAAATCCAACCGCTGTAGAAAGGCTCAGATGGAAGAAAAATCCTGAATCTTAGAAAGATTACTTGGGACATGAAAGGCCACCAGGAGTTGAATCAGGCTTCAAATGGAAGTAATTTTGAATGCTTTGAATGCTTAACTTGCAATGCTTAAAAGCTGATTTTTCAAAGCTACAAAGTACTAAAGACTAATAATGTAATTGGTGAGCTCTAACTTCAAAGTTCAGTCTCATAAAACACAAAACAGCAGTTACAAAAGAATCACTAAGCTAACTCATCCACAAACAAAGATAGCCATAATTTCCTAAATTCAGTCAAGCAGTATTTTCAAGAAACATCTCTGAAATTCAATTTGAAAAAGGAAAAAAAATCACAGTATTAATCAAAAGAAAAGTGTCCAAGCATAAGTTAAATTGATTTTTTTCAATGGACTCCGAAAGTCGCTTTTCAAATGTTGCAGTATTTTATTTCACTCATTAGGTTTTTATTACTGAGCTGTTTCTATAAAAAGACAATGAAAATGCCACTGCAGCAGTTTCCATAGGACTACTTCATTAGTTAAAACATAAATAATTAACAATGTGTTTACTGGGGATAACTTTAAGAATTATAATCCCCCCTCAATTGCAAAAAGCCTCTACAAGAATCACACTTCCCCACTTTGACATCAAAATGAGATAAACAAGATTAGAAAACCATGAAGAAGGAACTTCAAAAGTCAGAAACATCATCAGAAGCCAAAGTTTCTTAATTGTGTCCAAATTTATATCGATGCTGATCAGAAAATAAGAAAGTATGTTAAAATTAGCAAATTTCAGTCCATATTACATTCCTAATTTGTCCAGATGAAGTCTAATTTGCTTCATACAAAATTAAAACATTTAAAGTGCTCATGCTGCCCTCTAGTGCACATTTTTTTCTCAGTCAACTGAAGTCCTATTTCAAATATTTTAAATCCAAATTAGAGGAAAACTAACAGATTTAAGCCAACTGTAATACAATGGAAAACACAGCAGCAATAGTAGGGCAGCAAAGTTCCAGGCAAGAGCTAACAAGAACATGCTAAAATGCAGCAACCACAGACATAGAGTCAAACAACAACCTGTTTATATCCAGAAGACCTCAGGTAGGTAGGGAACCCCAGCAAGAGATGCCTTTACCTCCACTGCCTATACTTAATTGAGGTTTGGGAAGGGGTGGATCCTGTCTCCACCCCTTTTGGCCACTCAGGTACATTGCATGCACCTGAGCTCCTCTGGATTGGCCCTGCTTTCCCACAAGCTGCTCAACCACTGCTTCAAGCTGTGACTGAGCATTTCTGCTACAGCCAGCAATTAATATCTTGTCTGGTAATGTACATCTGCAAAAGGGTTTATAAAGAAGGTATTTTAATTAACAAATAATAAAAAACAAGCAGAAAGCAACAAAAAACAAAACAAACAAACAAACAAAAAAAACTGTGTAGGTACTGGGTAAGTACTTACTTTACTCCCAAAGCAAAACTTTATGCAATGGCTTTGATTTTGTAAAATCACTTAGAAGCTTTTTATTACCATTATGAGAATAAAATTTAAAAAAAAAAAAAAAAAAAAAAAAAAAAAAAAGAGGAACATGAGAGACTTCAAGAAAATCTGAAGTTTGAGTAAGAACCTAAGGCTTCAGGTCCCCAGTATCCCCAAGAACAAAGAACACAAAGTGAAGAAAATGTCAGCTGGCTTGAAAGAGTCCAATGAACTCAAAACAGACTGTGTTCAGGATTCTCATATCCTGAAGCACGTTAGCTGGTTTTGTAAGAAGAGTTTTTCAAAAGGGCCCAAGCTGGATGTAACCCTTCTATAAGCTGATCAACATCACCTGTACTTCATAACAGAACACAGACACCTGAGGAGGCAACACTGATTGGAATGCACATCTACTTTAATTGAAAGCTTTGGGGAACAAAGCTGTAAATAGTATGCTTAAAGCAAAGTTGTTGTTATCTCCTCTTTTCTCTGTATAAATACATTTTTAATAATCAGCAAAACGCAGGTGTTAATGCTGCTATATTTAAAAAAAAATGTTTTTTGTTTCCATTTCTCAAATTAAATAAATAAATAAATAGCAAGTTTTAAATTACCAAACAAACTTATCTCAGAAGCATTTCTTATTCCTGTTCTTTTGAGGGTGTCGTAAGTGTAATCTGTTTATTAACATGGCACTTTATGTTAAACTCAATTGTATACTACTCTTTGCTAACATAATTCACAAATTTACCTGCAAAAACATGCCGTGTATTGGTGAGATCAGAGTTGAATATCAGTACAGACTTGTTAGCCAGCCCACAGGCCAGGTAATTTCCATCCCCTATAAAAAGATTCTGATGATTTATGTTTGGAAGCAAAAAAGGAAATAATATGCTATCCTTATGAATAAAAATTACACATGCCACTGCAACAAAACAAATACTAAGTATATATTTCACATCAAACAAATTTTTTGCGTGAACATCACAAGCTCATACTGCCAAATTTAGTATGAATTTATACACTATTTCTTCTGTTCCTGACATATTTTCACAACACGTACTCATGGCAGAAATTTACTTTATATGTGTGCTACAAATTTTAAGTATATAAATTTTTAGCAGTCGTATAAATGTTTCCTGACTTAAACTCATTTTTCATACTGTCATCTTAAAAGCTATATCCGTTTCTCATATATATCAGCACACAGCAGTCATCCTGGATTAGTCCTTAAAAGTTACAGATTTCTTGTCAACATCATAAAATAATCCCCAAAGCTATTCAAGCACAGTTGGATGGATGGTTCATTTATGTTATTGATAAGTAGGGACCACGCATTGTCAGGTTTGACTCCCCTAATGTTTCTGTTAAAATAATTAAAGCAGCAAATTGATCTAATGGGGAAAAACAACAAACAAACAAACAAAAAAAGAAAAAAGAAAAAAAGTAAGTGGAATGAGAGAGAAAGCAGAATTGCATAATTCAAATCAGTGGACACTACTGGGTTCACTGTGAAATGCATTTTTTAAAAGCAGCATCTTCTTCTGAACTTCTTCCTATGTCTCCAGAGCACATGTGGAAAGGGTGACAAAATGTGTCATGTTTGACTGTTGATTCACCAGTCTGCTGCTCTCCACTAAGTCAGAACCATCCACCTTGCTGTTTCAGAATTCCACATCACATTTTTTTCCAAACAAATAATGAAAATAGAAATGGATAAGAGATCCATATTTATAATCTCTGAGAACCAGATCCTAAAAGTTAATTTTAAAAAATCAGATGCAAAATGGAGGAGTGGAATATGCTAAAAAAAAAGCGTCCCAGAATTTTCTTCTATCTTACTAACTATTAAATACACCAGCATACTAAATTGTCAAAGTGCTACGTTTTGATTTTGCCTCACCACCAATATTTCAGCTGGCTTTTTCTCCAGATGTCAGTAATTAAATACAATAAATAATGATCTAAAATATTTTTCTCTCAAAAATAAGATATCTACTTCTAAACAAAATACTCAAAGAAATGCATGCCCCACGCTCCCCATAGTCTTTAAGCTGTAGGGTAGTGCTCTTCTGCAGAAGTCTCCCTGTTTTTTCTAAGATTTTGACAGTACGTATTTTCAGAGTGAGAGCTGATTGGTAAGTTTGAAGCTCACTTACCATTGCAAGAAATAAGGTCTCCACAACTGATCTCCCTTATGGGCCATAAAAATAATTTCTTACAGGTCTGTAGGGAACACTTAGGGTTGAGGTATGCTTTAGGAAGTTACAGACTACTTTAGCTTACTTTTATTTCTTGAAGATGAAAGTTGTTCTAGTACCCAAAATACTTATAAAGATACATATTTTTAAATACTTTGTATATCCTGTGGTTTGCAGCACGTGCATTGACGTAATACGTACTCAGTGATATACTTTATTGCTGTCCTAGGAAAAGGTTCCAGTATAATATTTACCTGGATTGGAAATGACAAAAGCTATGACAAGACTTGCTTCTCCAAAGCCTTTAAAAAATATATCCTTCTTTGGATTATATTCAAGAATTCTTTTTTATAGTTTTAATAGATATGTAAATACTGAATGATCTTCAAATTTAAAAAAAAAAAAAGGAGTATTCTGATTCTTTTGAAACAGAACTTCAGCTTCTAACATGCCTTAATGACACCAAGTACATGACTCAGAAGATAACTTTCTGACGTGTTAGACCACTAATTTTCAAGTTGTGGTGGAAAAGTGATAGAATGGGGCCAAAAGCAAACAAGATAGAAAATCAATGGAGAATTAGAATCATTTGACACATATTAGCAGATTGCATAGTTTTGCAAGTTAAAAAGTGATGACCAGGCAGCAGATGCCAGATTTTTCTAGGAGTTTACCTAGGAAAACCATAGCTTTTATAAACACTACACAAATTTTGTTGTTCTGTCTCCACAAGGTCACAACAGTACATTTAATGAAACTGTACATACCAGAATACTGAACACAACAAATTCTAGTTGGTTGAAAACTAACGGATGTTTCTGCTTCATGGTTGATTGGAGGAGAACTTTCCAGTGGATATTCTTTATTTTTACTTCAGAAAAATAAAATAATTTAAAAAAAAAAAAGGAAAAACAGAAAGAGAGGAAAAATATTGAGATGTCTAAACCTAGTTTATTGCCATTTCAATACTGAAATAAATATCACTTGCAGAATTATTCTAAAAATTTTTATGTGTATATTTCCTGGAGAATTTATGCTAAATCCAGAATAAGCATCAGAATAAATTAAAAATTATCATAATTAAATTACTCACATCAACAACTATTATGAATTTATGAAAGAATTAACACAGCATTTTACAAAAAAAATCAAATTTCTTAAATTACATAATTATCTAGTGAAATTAATTAAAAATGCAAACTACCCTGCTGTGAGAGTAAGCAATATGAAAAATACTTCTGTACATAAACAGAAATAGAACATTGATCATTTACTTAACAGCACACTGCACAAAACAACAATTGTTAACTAGGTTAAGCCTCCACAATAACGTAAATCAATTATGAAATCATCTGAAGTATTCATCTAAGGGCTTGTCTATGTGCACGTTATTAAAATTTTAAGAAACAGTTTAAGAAAAAGAAGAAAAATAGCATTCATCCTTTATTTTTATGTTTGCAACACATAGAAGAATGACTTTATATAGTAGAAAAAAAATGCGTGTAATATTCCCATACAACATACCACATCAATTAACAAAAAAATGCCAGTTTCTTAAAAACATTGGCTCTTGTGTCCACAATGACTGTGAATCCACTGATCAAATCAACCATCACAGAATTGCAGGGGTTGGAAGAGACCTCAAAAGATTGAGTCCAATTCCCCTGCTAACG